TCACACACACACACACACACACACACACACACACACACACACACACACCGCACACACGCACGCACACACGTATGCAAACACACGCACGTACGCACGCACAGTACTTGCATATACTTCAGTGGCAAACACGCAATTTCGGCACTTTTCACAGAGAATCCACAGAAAATAACGATAGATGCAAGATATATTCCACCATGAAACATGTATAATTCCACCATAAAGAGTGAACGATACACGAAATGATGTGTGTACGTGTATGTAATTTAAGTTACATAAATTCGTGCGATGATCGACTTCTAACACAATTGCATATTAGGTATGTATTATATGAGTGCATAATAGGTATTTATATAGAATCTATATAGCTGTATAATTGTAACGAAATGCCAATGTCCGCGGACCTAGGCAGCTGTGCAAATCCGACGATGTACAATTAATTAAATTGGGAGTATTGTTAGACCTGCAATTGCTTAGGCCCTTCCTACCGGACACAGGAAGAAAGATGAAATAAAACGAACGACACAGAAAAGAAGTAATATTTCAAAAAGTCAGTCGAGACTGAGAGAACAGGGGAGTAGAATAACGTAATCGAGTTATCTTCCAAAAGGAAAAAGAATCTTAATGTGATTCGATTCTGCAACGCTGTGCTAATATCAATATTGATAAAATAATATTCTTTTTTTTTTGTTTTTTCTTTCAATTGAAATTACAAATTCATCTAAATCTATATTTCGCACTGGTGCGAAATAAATGGCAAGCGTATGAGAGGAAAAAAAGGCACATAGCTGCATATTAAAAAAAAAACCTAATTAGAAAAGCGTATTTATTTGAAATTGAAATTGAATTGAGTGCGTAATCGGTGCATTCGCATTTTTCAATATGAGATGAATAAAATTTTATTTATTTTCTTGTAACAAATTTATTAGATTTCGATATAATAATATTCTTCAGTTGGATTTCTTCTAAAATTGCAATTTCGGCTGGTCTGAATTTACTTAGCACGTAAGTTTTGATGAATATATAAAATATAAATTATACAATAATTTCTCAAGTACGCACGAGTGGGTAAAACATATTGAAACAAGAACTTCGGTTCTATTCGTTTTAAGTACATTTTGTCAACTTAATTTTTATTCTATTTTTTAAACACTATGATTGACACACACACACACACACACACACATACATACACACGCACGCACGCACACAACATGCCGCACGCACACACATAATTCGCGAATTGTCTATCATGAGCAGGTAGAACGGGTTAAACTGAATTTCGAAAAGTTCTGAGATAATAATTAATAAATACATCCGCGAATAGGCGTGCATTCGCATGAAGAGACAGCCCACGCATTTATCGTTGCTAGCAGCGTAGCGAGATATTTGAAAATTTGCTTTATGGTATAATATTTACACACTGTTTTTGCGTAGTCAATGCTGTTTATAGAGCACACCGCCAAACATCTTGTCGCATTTCTATGCAACTATGAATGCATGTAAAAGTGAGCTGTCTCTTCGCACGGTTGAATGCTTATTTGCGAATATTTAATAATCTTATTAATTATTGTGAAAATCATAACATGATATAGAACTTTTTATTCAGTTCAGCTCACTCTGTCTATAATCTGCAAATTATGATACATTCTGTGTATGTGTGTGTGTGTGTGTGTGTGTGTGTGTGTTGTGTGTGTGGTGTGTATATATATATATATATATATATATGTATGTATGTATGTATGTGTATATAGAATGAATTACTTCAAATTATACAATTTTCAATTAATCCTAAGATATAAGCTTTCTGGAAAAATCTTTTGAATTAAATTTATTTAGTTTCGAGAATCTATGATCAACACAATATGTGTCAGATGAAAAGTTTCTAAAATTTTTCAAAATTATTTCAAAAATAAAATTATATATTTCTTTAATATAAATCGATTCTCTTTATTATCGAATATGTGAAAAAATTAATGTACAAAATTATTAAAAAGTAAATAATTAGAGACTAAATATATAGTTAATATTTTATAGTCTATCCCGATATATTGAATAAAACATGAATATCTGGTAAAGCATTTATTTACTTATAACTTTTTTATAATTTTACGAATAAAATGACGAACAGAATCGATTGATGTAAAAAAAAAAATACATTTAAAGTGCAATTATTTATTGCAGATTCATTGTATCTATATACAAAAAATTAGATCATTAATTGAGTATAAAATCTCTTCATATCTATATATTCTAATGTAAAATGAAAAATATTTTGTTATATATTCATTTTTCAATTTAATAATTTTTTTATGTTGAATAATGAGAAAAATTCGATTTATATAAAAAAAGATTTGGTTTAGTTTAAAAAAATAGACATTACTTGAAACTTTGAAAAGAAACAATTCTGACTGCAGAATGTTTCCAAAACTAAGCAAATTTTATCCGAGATATTTCTTTTTATAAAACTTATATTTTAAGATTTGTTGATAATGATAATTTCTAGTAATTCACTTTGTTGTGTGTACATGTGTGTATATCATATGTTGACATTTAATGGAACGGATAATGAAACATATTCCATCTTTTGTTCACAAATTTTCATTGACACGATCATACTTTACATTTATAATTTATCCTCAAACTTAATCGATTTTTTCAAAGGCGGAGTGGGATCAGCAAGAATCAATCTGTGCAGACACATATAGTAGTTCAAAGGAGAGTTGTAAATCAGAATGGCAAGGAAAAGTCTTAAAAAAATTGTTCAATGGCGCAGATGGTATGATATTGTGATCTATACAAGTTACAAATCATAAAGCATCCACAAGTAGTAGATATTTAAGGTAAATATATACATAGACACACATACACATATACACTTACATACATACATACACACATACATCCCTCTATGATGTGACTAGAGAAAGGAGACATTGTCTTAGTAAATGCATATGCGCAATAGCGTGTGCAAAACACAAATGTGTAATTGACAAGTGGGGACAACTACAAACGTACCTAACTAAAAGAAAAAAAACGCAGAGAATGAGAGAAAAAACAGATATAAAGAAAACAGAAATGAAGATACCGTCTGATACATGTAAGAATAAGCAAAGTAATATAAAATAAATGAAAGAAGAAAAAAACATGATGCTCCTGCCACGCAGCGAGTCTTTAGACAGCTTTAAGAGAATAATTATAAATAATAAAACAATTATTAAATAATTACAATGAACTTTCTATATGTTGAATCGTGTCTAGTGAGAGAAGTACTATCGAAGTAAAGCAACACAAAAAAATTAATACTACTATTGCCACACATAAATTAATGCATTTTATATGAACCACATTGATTAGTTATCTCTTTCGAATGTTCTTTTGTTTTTGCTTTCCTTTTCTTTTTAATTTTCTTTGGTAATATACATAAACAGAAAGAGTGGTTGTTACAGAGTAGCTTTTGGTGTTTCGTTTGCTGTTTTATGAATGAACGTTGCGCGGTTGGTGAATGAAGGACCTCTTTGCCAGAATGTTGAAAGTGTCTGCAAAGAGGCATTGGAGTTTCATTTACTTGGGTTTTCTATATATTCGATGAAGTTACACACACCGTCACTGTTATCCATTGTCACGCGCTATTATTGTCACGTAGATTTTTCATAGATATGATACGTAGCGGGCGACAATTATGTGTAGCGATAACACCGACATTTGCGCCATAAACAGGATGCGATCTACGTCTTTTGTTGCAGGACGACTCGTCAATCGCGATATAATCTTTCTCGCTGCGCGAAGTTATGGTTCATAAAAGGAAAAAAAAGTTAAGAATGAAAAACCGCATTGTTGTTGCGATTATTCTTATTCTTATTGTCATTATTATTATTAATATTACGATTATATTGTCATTATTCTTAATATTATGATTATTCTTATATTACCACTACGATTAACTATTAATACTTATTATTATCAAAGCGTTAGTTGTGTACTGGTGTCATTAATAGCGAAAATTATATTGAATCGGCCCGTTGAAACCGGCTGATCTTTTTTCTTTCTTTTTTTTTTTTAGCATTTATTATGACAATGATCAATTGAGTTTGTGAATTCAGTAGCTTTTTTCCGTTCATCTCCCTATTCCTATTCTCAATTTCGATTTCAGTCAAATCTCTCCTGTCTCTTCTCGTCTGTATTAAAGTACACTTTCCTCCCCTCTCTTTGGACTTGCATTTCGTTCATTTTGAGTGATCCGAAACTCGAGTTTGGAGTTGTGTTATTTTAAAAGGCGAAACGAGACAACAGAAGCGAACCGAAAAGGAGAGAGAAAGAAAGAAGGAGAAAAACTGAAAAAGACAGAGAGAGAGAGAGAGAAAAGAGATGGGAGATCACATGGCGCCATCAGAATTTTGACAGCATTAAATTAGATGTTACTTATTGTTAGATTCAGCGATTGAGCGGATTGAGCAGAGTTAATTATCTTTCCGCGCGTTGCGTTTTCCTTTTTTTTTTTCCTCCTAGCGCGCTCTCGCGTGTATGCATGCGTGCGTGAATGCTAAATTCGTGTACATGTGTAAGCTCGACAATCGAAAACGAGCGAGCTACTCTTTGTAAGGCGAGACAAGATATTGAGAAAAAGGAAAGCCAATCGCAAGGACGATGCGCCGTTGAGCACGTTAATACTGCGATCCTCAGAGGAAATTATATCGCAGGAGTAATACGTGTCCTTGCGAATTATTACATTTAAATCAATAGGTTATGAGAATCAAAGTTTGTTGTTGCAGAAAACAATGAGAATTGCTGCGATTGGCCTTTGTATGTCATTTGATTTATTAAAGATAACAATCTGTTGCAAACTTCTAAAGTTTTTCATCCCCTCACATACATGATAAGTCCTTTCCAAACGTCGCATGGCGCATCTGATACATTATTCAAACAAAAAATGATTTTTTTCGAACACCATAACGAGATTATTCTTTTCCTGTAGTTTTTTTAGACACTGAATCCGAATCCGATTGTAGAATTGTTTTATCACATCATAATTTTGAGAAAGGAATTTATGCATTTTAAGCAATTTGGAAAGCACGTTGGGTTTACCTTTTTTCTTACTTAATTTTACTTTCTGAATCTGAAAATCGTAATTTAAAATTATCCTAGTATCTGGGAAATATTTCTTCATATTTTAAACAAAAAAAGCAACAGTTGATTTTATCACTTTGTTGAATCATGTCTGCGAGTTTCTCTTTGTTTTTGTAAAAATATATGTTTTGATATTACTTAAGCCCTCATCCTTTGATTCTTATTAGGACTTGAGAATCTGGAAGTTACCTTTAAGTTATATATATATATATATATATATATTTTTTTTTAAGTTTTGCTTCTAAATACCTCAAAAAGTATAAAGGATGCAGAAAAGTTTCGGATAAAAGTTATACTGTTTGAAGGAAGACAAATAATGACAAGAATAATTAAAAAAAAAAATTAATTTTTGAAGATCATATAAAGGGGTATCGCCATTTTTCTATATCGAATTATATAATTTTTTTACATAATATGAGATAATTCGTTAATTTTTTTTCCTACATTTTTTTACTACAAATTTCTTCGTCTCACCACTACATTCCATGTCTATTTCAATCCTGTGAAAGGATTTTCAATTCTGTTCAGTTCAATTCAGGGATATTCATATAACTATAATATCGGTAAATCCGACCTTCCAGTATCGCCTTAAAATTTTTAAATTTATGGATCGAAATTGAAATGGCCTTCGTGGAAATAATGCATTTATATTTTATAATGTACGAATAATATAATTTTTTAATATAATATTAATATAATATTTTTTGGATAAGGTAAATTGAATTAAACAATGCATTTCCTAGGCACAATTTTTAATTATGAATAACGTTTATGGTTCATTTTCATGAAAAACTATATTTTATTATAAACCATATTTTTTAAAAATTTATTAGATTGAAAAAATTGCATTTTTTATCTAGAATTTTGAATTAACTGGTATTCACAATTTACTTTTTAAAGCTGAACTTTTTTTTGATTGAACGGCATAAAAAATGTGCTTCATGCAATTCCTATAAATGGATACAAAGGTATTGGGCATTGAAATGGAGTCAGATTTTTAAAAGTTCGCTTTCGCGAATATTGAAAAAAATTTTTTTCAATCCATTTCAATCCATTCTCGTTTACTAGGTGGAAATGTAAAACTTGTCTGTGAACATACGGTTTCAATATAGTAAAATGTCTAAAATGTGTGAGCGCATGCACACAACACGCACACACATTTTCAAATATTTTTAAAGACATTTTACGATATTGAATCCGCCATTTGCAATTTGTTAATTTTGACATTGAATTTGTATTAAATGATTTAAAAAATACTTAAGTGAAGTAAACAGAATTGGAAGCTGTTTGATAAATAACGAATAAGGAAGGTCAATGCACGATCATAGCAGGATCTTGGTGCTTCTAATATTTTTTTATGTGATTTTATATACGTATCCTAGCTTTGACGAAACTGCGTGCCATTACTTTCGAATCTTAACATATATATGTTAAGATTAGGAAACGATCCTTGCTTTAGTTTCGATTCTGTGTTTCTGTTCAGCGCCGCCTAAGATGCAAGAGGGTTATCGTTTTCGTCGCGAGAGCGCTGTAATCAACTTTCTTTATGTACTCCTACTTTATTTCCGTTCTTTCAATACTTCTCCCCAGTTCGTTAGTAATCGCAGAGAGAAGCATGAGAGCGGCCATCCCGGCGTTTTTCGCAACATCGGTAAAAGTTTTGACCTCCCCGTACACTAGCGCCAATTGACCGGTATGAAGCCAGCTGTCGAACTAACGATTTCAATAATTTCAAATACGTCATTCGATTGCTAGTCGTTTGCTAATTTTTGCATCTATTTTTATTTTGTTTGCATATTAATTATTTTGAGTAAAAAATCGAAAATAAAATTTGGACAAGTGTAACGGGCGTAACCGCCATTTGAAACCTTTATCTCATAATTTTATAAATATTTCGGTGCTAAAACGTTTGCTAGTCATTTACTAGATCCGTATATACAAGTATTTTTCCTATTTTATCGATAAAATTGTCCCATATT